AGAGAGAGAGAGAGAGAGAGAGAGAGAGAGAGAGAGAGAGAGAGAGAGAGAGGGAGAAGAGCGCTCGTTTCTACCACGAATAACCGATGGCCTGGTTCGGGTTAGCCGAGTTGACCAATATCGAATTTAATAAAGCACACAAATCATGGATCCGGCCCGCGCGCGGTGCATCACCGGACGAGAAAACCCGGGCGTACCGCGATTTTTACTCCCTTGGAGCCCTGCCAGTCGTAGAACCAGCTGGCACGATCCACTAACCCCGTCCGTTGGTACGCGCTCCCATTCTCTCTTTCTCTCGCGTGCGCGCTTATGACGTATAGCCACGGCTACATGTGACGTGTGTATTAAACGACTCTGAAATATCGCTCAGCATCGCTCAACACACTGACGTTTCATAATATATAAGTACACTTCGCGAAAGATAAGCTCGTTCAAAGGAGAATCGCGCTCCGCAATCTGAGCGTGCCGCTCGCTTTAATTAAAATCCAACGCTTCAAGCATATTTTCTTACGCATGATGTTGCAGAAATCGTAATTGTGCTCTCGGCTTGAAATAAAGTAACAATAATATAATAACTTTTCGTTTTTCCTATTTATTTTCTCGTCGTAATAATAACAAGAGATTAGGCGAATGCAAATGCGGGGAATTAAAATTGCAGCGCCTAAAGGATTAAAAACGGCAAAACTGGTCGAATCTCCGCTGTACGTTTATCGAACTATGCGCAATACTGTCTGTGCTTCTCCGATGAAAATGTATCGCTGAATTTCGCCGCGTTAGTCTCAAATGTTTAACCGAAATTGAACTAAATTTCCTCTAATTTAATCTGGTTTCTACACTTTGGCCACTCGATTAATGTCTCGTATATTTCAACGTTAAATACCCGGTTTCGCGGAGTGCAGTCGAATGCAGATCGCCCTGCGAGAATTCCGCCATGCCTGAAAATGTTTCAGTCTGGATATTACCCGGTGGTACACGCCCCGACAGGAATGATGTGAGAAATTATGTGCGCCGAATGTTCCGGATGTTTGAGGACGCTCAGGATGGCCGTTGTTGAAATTACTGTGATAATTTAATTGCGGCGCGGTGCGGTCAACGGAACCACGGTTATTTGTCCAAAGCAAGAGTCGTTTATTATATTTGGAGAAGAATGTCTATCACATTTTGGATCGTAATGTAATAAACGCGGCGCGGTTTGAGCCACGCGTAAATTTCGCATTCACCTAACAATTCTCTCCGGCGCCGGTTTCCGTAAGGACAAAGAATTAACGTGCGTGATCACGCCGGCCAGTGGGATAGCTGGGGAATTAAAATTATTCTCTGAATTCCACGGTGATTTACCGTCGTGTCGCAAAAAAATGCGCGCGCGCGCGCCTTTGTGAGAGACGTGGCATCGCATTGTCACGCGAAAGAACTGCGGAATTAGTCCGCACGGCACAATGAAAACCTAAATGGAAACGTATTACGCGTATAATCGCGTTCGTACGCCGTCTCAAATTATCGCAGTCTAATTTCACGCGTGCGGTATTATCCGAATCGCGGATAACATTATTTGATTATCGGAATACGAAAATGTGACTTGCCATGCCGGGGAACAATTTGTAGCGCGAGTCACGTGAAAATTCCAGTTTCTTCCGACCGAGAGACGGCAGAGTCGTCATTAATTTTCAACGTGCAAATACGCGCAGAAGTCGTAGCTTCTTACCTGAGACACACACACACACACACACACATAGACATAGCACGCTTACGTTTCCAGACGCTTCACTTTTCTCATCGCAGTAAGGGTGCGTTCCACTTAACGCCCGCAACGCTCCTAGAATCATTTTATCCTCGTTTAACTTTCGATGAAAAACAAGGATAAAATGATCCTAGGAGCGTTGCGGGCGTTAAATGGAACGCACCCTTACTGCGATGAGAAAAGTGAAGTTAAGTGGAACGCACCCTATGTCGACGAGGATGGGCGAGAGGTAAATCCTTTGAGCAATCCCGACCCACTTCATCGCCGTTTTCCACCGGTCGGTGGAGTGCTAGTTCGCGGTAGGCGAGAAACGTCGTAATTGCTAAAATAATGGCCGTGCCTACGGCGCGGCGCGGCGAACAAAACGATGGCGATTACGTTACCTTGAAATTCAATTCCGCTATTGTCCCTCGTACGAGAGGCGAAATCTAAGGGAACTTTGATACTGTTTCGCAAGATCGCGGCAACACCGCCAAACGCCCACCGCGAGAAATCGTCCGCAAGCAATGGTGGAAAATTCCTCGCACGTAATGTAATCATTTTGTCGCTCACATTATATAAATCGTCATGCTACTTTCAAACGTGCTAATGGCGAGCCACTTTTTTTTATTTTCTTCCCTGTTTTACGAGATAAATTATAATTAACTCGCTTATTTCAAAAAAATTTTTTAAATAAATAATAAAAAGAAAGATACTTAAAAATGTTGCGAAACATGTTTTTCACACGTAATTTCTCTCTTTGCATCTTTATGTACTTAATTCTATTTCTATAAAAAATATTACGCAACATTTGTGATTCATAAAGATTTAAAACTTTTAATTAATAATTTCTCAAAAACTGCAAAAATTAATTTATCTCTCTGGCAGATTTATACAGAAAATATTTCTCTCATAAAAAATTTTTCTCTTTCATTACCACATATTTTTCATTAACGAACTATTGACAAACAGTCATCAGCATGTTATGAACAACAACGCAATTAGCATCACGCATGTCATGTTATTATCGGCCTGTTCTGTTCTGATATTACATTGTTCGCAATCTAGATTCCCTCCTCATTTCATCAACGTTTTATTCCTCTCGTAATAATTTTATGTCTCATAAATATCGGTAAACGTGAAATATTGTAGGGATATATAGGGTGTCTCGAACCAACTAACCTATCACTGGTTAATACCAAATTCCTGAGATTACTTGAAGACAAAAATCTTTATATCCTTATCATGAGAAACTTCAGAAATATGCTATTAACGGGTGATATGATATCAACTGTACTAAGATTGTCTATGCATTTTTCTTTAAATTCCTTCAACATCTAATATTTTAATCTCACATTTTGTAGAATGTATTCCCGTTCAAGTGTCTTTTGAAAACATAAAAACTCTAATATGATTATCAAGCAACTGTATCACGTATATAATTTTTTTGCAGTTATTAAACTTTATGTATTAAATATCAAAAGTGAAAATTAATAGTTTCCATTCCACAATATTTATTTTTTCAACTAAAAATTTATAACTTTTAGCTTTATGCAATTAAACGTAGAAAAGTACCAACAGTAACCAGACCGTTCACGTATTTTCATGAGGAGAAACTCCAACGTCCATTAACGTTTAATCGTTCAGTTAGTAGTTTCTTCGTGCGCTCGCGCGTGTCGTCCGCTTGATATTTCGAAAAAAAAATTTCAATTTTAAAGCAGAATATATAAAAGGTTCGGCGAAGGGAGAAGGGCTATTACGCCTGCGAGATGTCCGTATTACAGGCTAGCGTTTATATCGCAAGTACCGTAAACATTGTGCGCCCGAGGCGTGAAAGCGACAATAAAGGCAGATTTGATTAGACTGTCGACGTTCTCTCGTATACATCGCCCACTCATTTCCTTTTCTGTGTTGCCTCGTCACTAGAGATGCACGCCGCCATTCTCTGTACTCGTTTAATTGGAAATCCACCGGGGCGACGAAATGAAACTTTACGTATATACACTGGGTTTACGTTATGGACTGTTACACAGAAATGACGTATAAACATTTAAGACAATACGTGATATACCTTTTTTTCCACATTGTTTTTCCTAGTCATTTATTACGCGAAAAAGTATAAAACAGATCGTACAAATCATCGGGCCGAACGCAACTACAATTTTACAATAATATATCTTAAATATTATGATAAAAAAAGTTATATATTCATGATACAATTTGTTACTTTTATCAATGAGAAAATCAACTTACCGGCGTTGGCGGTGATAAAAATTATTTGGGAAATTTTTTTAATTTTAACAAAAATATTCTTTTACGCCCTTTGCGCAATATTGGTTTCTCGCGGCGCAGATAACCAATGCCCGAAAAATTGCAGTTGCGTTTACACGGCGTAAATATTTGTGATAGAACGCCGCTTTCCTGTGACGCTCGTTTAATTGAAAAACTGCATGCTAGACTTCGAGCGGGAAAGAAATGCACGCGCCACGCCGCTCTAATATGTATTCCGCCGGAATCGATCCCGAGCGAAGAACGTAGTTTTCTTATTTCACGAGAAGCGAAATAAATTTTACAAAGCGTGAAAAAAGGCGCGGCCGACATTTCCAAGTCAATAAAAGCTTTTCACCGTCCGACGTTGTGCCAATAAATTATTTCTGTACGAATCAAAAAAAGACTGCCCCTTCATGTTGTAAAAAAGTTTTATTTGGCGAAATTCCGGAGAGTGCAAGAAAGATCTCAATCAAATGATACTTTTTACGAATATGTACCTATCTCCTGTATATGAAACACTTCTTTTCACACGTTTCACTTGTGGATACGGCGTGATCAATCTTCGTATATTCATTTAATTAAAACTAACTCTGTTCGCAACTCAATCACAGCAGAAATCTGTATAATTACTTGATCGAACGAAAAGTGTAACAATTATCACAACAAATCAAGAGAAATTGTTCAAACTTCTTTTCTTCCACACTTGTCTATTATCATCAATCTCATTTCGTTATCGGCACGTATAAATTGCTGTCAATATAGCTGGCCATAAATATGTTAATCTGTTCTCAACGACTTTCGGCTCGCATATACGTCGCGGCGATTTTTCGTCATTACGCGGGAAAAAGGGCGGCATGTCGCGAGCATCGCTGACGCGTTCGTCAGCCGTCGAAAGCTTCGTTTTCGGCGAAGCCCGTGGGAGGTTAATGGGCTTCACCGAAAATTGATGGGCGCCGTGCATGCCCGTATGAAATACGTGCATCACGCCGACTTTTTTCCCTGCTGCCGTTCCCCGCGCGCTCACCTTTGCCTTTCATCGTTGCCCATCCCGGGAGGCGCGCGCTCTTTTTATTTCCCCGTCTTCTGCAACGGCAATCGCCAGGCGCGATTTTTCCTGAGAACATTTGCGACGTGCACGGTCTTCCATCTTCGCCGCACCCCCTCCTCGCGCTGGTCTCAGAAGCCCAGCGCAGCGTCAAAATTCATCAGCTTTTTTCACGCGCCACCACCGGAATGCACACCGGAGAGAAATGAGGAAGACCGGCTTTTCTTTCAAACACACGATAACACACTTTGTATCAAACCCTCTCGAAGCTCTTGGTATTTCCTAATCTGGCAGTCTTTTTTTTTTCTTTAATGAGCAGCGCTGCAAAAAACGAAGTGCGTTGCATAGAATTAATCCGCGTAAATAAGGACATTTGATCACTGTCGGTTTATTGATCGATTCGCAGCGAATAGATGTACGCGCGGATTACAATGAGTGATCGGCGACAGTAAACTATGATTGGTAGCATTGTTCCACGAGCGCTTAGCGTTCGATGGAAGCCGACGACAACGATATGCATATCAAAGGGCTCAGCGTGTAAATCACGGTAAACTACGCCTTAACAGTCAATAACTCATTTGCTACATCGTAGCTTTCTCTATGTGTGCAGATTCGTGACAGTCTGGCCGCAGAGGAGCCGCTGGAGGAGGAGATCCCGCATGAGGACATAATTGGTCGCGATTATTGCCGTTACAACATAAAGCGTCTGATGGCGCCTTAAGCTGTCGGAATCCTCATGGCGAACGTAAACGATCGAGTGATCGAAGCGGAAACAGGGAAAGAGAAAGATAAAGAGAGAGAGAGAGAGAGAGAGAGGAGGAGAGAGAGAGAGAGAGAGAGAGAGAAGAAAGAACGAACTAC